AAAATTATTTCATTCAACTTTCTTGGTTATGTTGAAACTTTTTCCAAAGTAGCACGCTGGGCACTGCCGCCATCTTTATATCTGCTAAGGATCTGGTACAAAGCTTCGCGATGCTGTAAATCGAGGACTGCGGAGTACGGACTGCGGAGTACGGACTGCGGAGTACGGACTACGGAGTACGGACGACGGACTATGACTACGCCGACAGTATCCTACCAGAAGCATATAACCTGGCTATATGTCGTTTTATGTGGAACGAACTCTTTATACCTGTGATCAAAACGCTCCATACATTGCTGCTTTTCCGTTACAAACTATAAAGGAGCATCTGATGGTGAATTATTTCCGCAGCCCAAGCAAACTCATGTAGACACTCTACATTGTTTTTTTTCCTTCCATTCCACCCACCTCTTTCGTTTTGTCATTTACCAATGTCTTTTTTTATTGTTCATTTGCTTGTTTTTGTAGGCTGCTCCAAACTTAGTCGATAACATAAATTGGCCACCATAAAGAGTTTCAAAGCTGACGTTTCGAGTTCTGACAAAGGACCAGGGCTCAAAACGTAAGCTTTGAATCTCTTTAAGGCGGCCTATCAACTAAGTTAATAATACTTAACTACCATATTATACCATAATTTTGTTAAGCACCATGAGGAAATATTTACTCTGAAGTTGTCAAACAGAGAAAATTCCCTCAATTCAAAGACTGGTGCACTTTTGGTAACCTCTCCTTACAGTGCTCATCGCACTTTGTTTTTTCCTTTTTTTTTTTTGGAGGGAGGGGGGATCTATATTCTGCACAGCCAGTCAACTATAATAACAAAAATAATGAGAAAGGTTAGAATTAATGTATTTATGTTTTTTTTGCACCTTTCAAGCCCAAAGATCTTTGCCAGCAGTTTTCCCAAAATCGTTTAAACTTTTGGCACTAATTTTGTGAAGCATAGTTTGAAGAGTTCTTGTTTTACGATATCTTAACATTTACATTGCCAATCATCATTGCCTTGAATTCTTCAACGTTTGTTTGGTTATTGCCATCATTGATGCAGAGACCCGTGGTTAGCCCTGTGGGTTCCCTGTGGGTTCCCTGTGGTAGTAATCCATGGTCAACAGGGCACCCATGATCAACTTAACAAGCCATCTATAAACTCTCTCCACTATTTCTATGCAGTTCTCTTCACATTGACCACAACTGGTTAGGACAGCTCATTTTAATATTTTCCAGTGAGAAGGGTCAAAGAAATACCTCATTCAGGCTTTCCTGGTTTTCTAAATTTAGCTTGTACAAATATCCTTGGTACATCAACTCCTTCCTTTTTATTAACAGTCCTCCTGTGAGCATAATCATTGACTAATGTTTCAAATCCAGCTTGATGGAAGAGTGTTTCAACAAGATCTGTAAGAGCAAAACAAGAAAAAGCACTGTAACAAGGGAAGAAAAATTTTCAATAATTGGCATCAAGTTGTCTTTTTTTTTTTACAATGGGAGAAAAAGGAGAAACAAAGTTACCAACCATAGATGTTCTACCAAGCCCCTTCCTAATGACCCCCTTATCTAAGGGTTCACTCTCTACCAATCCCTCCCTCAATATTATGCCTGCTCTTTATCAAGGCCCTTCTCTAATAACCCCACCACTCTAGGACTTCAAGTTTCTAGTAGGCCTTCCTCCCTTGTATAAGCATCCTCTCTATTAAGTCCTGTTCTATATTAAGCCTCCTATCTGATAAGCCCCCCATTCCATTAAGTCCCCCTCTCTATTAAGCCTCCTTCCTGTAAGAGTCCCCATCTCAAATAACCCCCTCTTTGTTGAGCCCTGTTCTATATCAAGTCTCCTATCTAATAAATCCCCCTCTCCATTAAGCCATCCTCTGTTACACATCCTTCCCCTAAAAGTCCCATCTCTGTTCTATATTAAGCCCCCTATCTAAAGCCCCCCCTCCTTTAAGCCCCACCCTCTATGAAGCCTTCCTCCCTTAAGAGTCCCCACCTTAATAAGCCCCCCTCTCTATTGAGCCCTACAATCAATCAAGACCCCTATTAAATAAAGTCCTCCTCTCTATAAAGCATCTTTGTCTAAAACATCTCCCTCTCTGATAAACCCCCTCCCCAATAAGCCCCTATTGCTATTGTGCCTCTCTTCCTTCAGTTGCCAACAAGTTATTGTAAAGTAAACACAAGCAAAACATATATTTTTTTAGAAATAAAAGTAAGAGGGACAAACAAAGAAGATGTGAATTTATGAAAAGGACAAAGATGGAAAGAGGACTTCAGCTTACCTTTTGAAAAATAATAAGCTCTAGTGCCATCTTGTCTGACATAAAAGTTATCTGAGAGTTTGTTTGCAGGACTAAATCTTAACATAGCATGGTCATACAACCCATAATCGCGAAAGAACAGCAATCCACCTGGTTTGAGAACCTTATTTGGATGAAAATAAAATAAAAAATATTAGTAAAAATGAATCTTTTACTGTGTCAAAGTTTACTGTGTCTTTTCCAAACCAAACTGTGACAGGATACCTTAACAAGATCAAGACAAGTATTTAAGTTTTTTGTCTTACTTAACACTCTAACTTGCAGAATTGATTAACATGGAACTTCTCCCTATAATATCCATACATCATTCAGCAAACAGGTAATGAGAATACTCAAACTCATCAGGTACAAGATATTATTTTGATTGACCACCAAATTCTCATAACCAATTTACAAGGAGATGTGTAGCAGCTAGAGGGGAGAATTAACAATCAGATCTTGGGAGTTAAGTAACTGACACCTCAGAAACAAGTAAGACAGTAAAAATACCAGCCATCTGTGCCTCAGGAGAATGCTCATACATCCCAGAAAGACCAGTCTAAAGCCATATTAATTATCCGTTTACTTTGTGGGTGAACTTTGAGAATAATGTTTGAGGAAAAAAAAAACGCAATCACTTCAGTTTACTGTTTTACCTGTATTACATTTTGAAGAACAGTCAACATCTTATCTGGATGGACAGCAGACAGGACAAACACCAAAGTTGCAATGTCCACACTACATTTTGGCACATGTGACTCTAAAGCATCCACTGTTAGGTCACAATGGAAGGCATTTACTTTTTCTTCACTAAAAGCAGGATGTTCCTAGACAAAAAAACAAACAAAAATTGTAAACCCTTTAACTCCCATCAGTGACCAAGACAGAATTTCTCCTTATAATATCCATACAATATCAAGCAGACAAGTGATAAGAATAAAGAAAATTATTAATAAAGAATTATTAGTTGATCTAATACCAAATTCTCTAGACTAACATCAGAAAAACTATATGACAGACAGCAAGGAGAATCACTTATGAGATCTTGGGAGGGATGAAAGGGGTCACCTAATCTGTCAATCAGTATTATTTTTCAGAGCAATCCGTCAAGGCAGCTTTACTTTGTTTGAATCTCAATTACCAATCTTTTCAAGCTATAATTATACTGCACAAGTAAATATATGATCATAATTATGACACAAGAACAATACACTTTTCTCTCCTCTATTAATAAAGTGTAAACCATATGAATAAAATTAAATACTTAGTGTTTAAGATTCTAAGGAGTACCCTAACCATTCCCTACATACAATTCAGTGTTAACAACTGAGTTGAAAACGTAAATTAGCGACCATAAAAAGTTTAAAGGCTGACATTTTGAGCATCAGCCTATTTTCAAAGCAATAGACAAAGGGCTGACCCTCTAAACTCTTTACAGTGGCTAATTTACGTTTTCAACCCAGTTATTAATACCAAATTACCTGTTATACTCTCCCACTAATGCAGCATCACAGTTTCTTCAGAAACTTATCCCCTTTATCCATTCCCCACATGGTCTCCAAATTTGCTAAAAGTTCTTACCTTCACAAAATCAATGGCTCTTTTTGAAAAATCACATGCATGAATGAAGAGATTTGGGATTTCCTCAAGTAATGGATAGAAGAGATTTCCAACACCACATCCAGCCTCCAATAAAACTTTGCTTGTAACAAAATCTGACTTGATTTCAATAAAGAAAATTTACATTTAGATTTGGAGAGCAATCACAGCTTCTGATGCATCAAGAATTGACTTTTTGTAACCAATCTCACACAGTTTCAAACTTATATGTCTTGACCAAAATTAATCACATCATTTCAACTCTGCCTGTGCCAGGCTGAAGTCAAAGGAAAGGAGAAGAGGAGTACAAGTGGATGATGGAGAGCTGTCTAAGTTATTTTGTAGGATTCATAGGAAAAGAGGGTCATTACCCTCCTTAGTTCTCCCATGTTTTTTCTTTCTCATTTGTCACCAGATTTCTTGTGTTATTTGAAAACAACCAAGCACATTCCTCTTCTAATGGAATTAAATTATTCTCTCCCTGTGGACACAAGTTTTAACTGAATGATGAAAGTTATCTAATATAGCATTTAGATTTCCCAAAAAACACTTTGTTATTGGTCAAAAAAATTTATCCACCCTCTTGCAAAATCAAAACCAGTCATGTTTGGTAAATTGACCAATTCTGCATTTTGGTTGTTTTTAATCTGAGTTCTTATTGGCTCCTTATGGAATTTTCCTCTACTCTGATTTGCTGTTGTGATTACTTTGGTTCCACTTGTAAAACACTCAGTCAAAGTCCTCTTCATTCCACCATAAATAGATTTGACCCTTTCCTAATTCTGTAATTTAGCACAACACACTTACCTCGCCATTTCTACTTTCACATAACAGCTCTTTGAATTCTGCAGTAGTCCAGTGTCTATCTTTGAAAAAGTTTGTAGCGTTTCTTTTATAAAATAAATCCCAATTTTTTTGGGCTTCTTTTTCTAGCTTATTCTGTTTGAATTTTGAAACAATCTTGCTATCATCTTCAAGTTTTATCTTCTCTTCTTTTGTGAGAGCACGTACACCATCTTCGTCCGCCATCACTTATGATAACAACCGCTGACTACTATAAATATTTCCCGTGGGTCTTTGCTAATCGGAAGTTAGTGTCCCATAATACACTGCGGCACTTGACATCTTTTAGTCGCACAAGGGAAAGTAAAAAATGTCGGAGGAAAATAAGGTAATGTGGTTGAACGAGAATTCTTTCTACATTCAATAAGTTATTTAAATCTCAAAGAATTAATGTACAATTTCCTTTCTCTTAGGAGGTAAAACCTGAATCAGAACACATTAACCTGAAAGTTATGGGTCAGGTAAGCTGCCATTGATCTTATCGTTCTCGTGCTTAGCGTTGAATCGAGGTGCTAGTTTGTACCCTCAGAAGAAAATGCCGTCGAAAACCTCCACAAGGAAGATTATTTTTGTCATATTATTGGTAATTCGGCATAGATTTGGGTTCAATTATCGCGGTGATGATCGCCGATTTAAAGTACAGCGTCGAACTAAGATCAAATAACATAAGTGAGAACAAGGAATTTGAAAATCTGCTATTCTACTTCCTAAACTACGGCCGTCCCACTTTCGAAATCCTCCCCATTTTACCAAAGAAATAGTGCGTTTGTTAGTATTCAGAACCATAATGATTTGGCTTCCCGAAACGATGTCTATGTCCTGTGCTGTTTTGTTAACCACTTTGATTTGTGTATATTGTGATCTGTGGCGGGAAACGCAACACACGTGCTTGTGTCGATTTGTAAAAAGGCCACCCTTTGACGTTCCTGTCGTTAAAAATCTTTTGCTGATTGAGCTTCTCTTCTTGCTACACAGGACAACACAGAAGTACATTTTAAGATCAAGAAAACCACTCAATTAAAAAAACTCAAGCAAGCATACTGCGATCGCCAGGTTTGACAGTTTCGAATCATACACGTTGTTTGATAATATTCAAGTAGTTACATTCTCTACACTGTTCTCCTCACATTTGCTATGTTACTGACAAGGAGAGTTTGTTTGACAATCAGGAGCCTCTCAAATTGGTGATTGTTTCCTTTATTTTCACAACCTTTGCATTTGATTCGAGGGTGGTACTATATGGAGAAATTATAGGCTAGTCACTCCTAGGAATGAAAGGGTTAATACATGTTATTGTTTGAAAATACAAAAACACAGATTTCTCAAATTTAAAAGTATAACTAATTACCATGAGAACCACTGGTCAGATTTCTAAAGTTTTCTAAATATTTCTGCAAGCAAGCGTTCAATCTTGCTTAGTTTGTGTTGTGCTGATGATTTCATTGTATTTTATGTTTAGGGTGTCCCCCTAAATTCACTTCGGTTTCTTTTCGATGGTCAAAGAATAAATGATGATCAAACTCCTAAAGATGTAAGTATTGGACAGAACTTGAAAAATGGTCACAATTGATGCTGAAGCTCATTTTCATGATAAAAAGATAATCAGTTGAGTGAGGCATGGCCAAAGTTTGGCAACATGGTTTTATTTTTGGTGTTGTCACAGGCAACCTTCCTTGTATCCAAAGGTAACTGAATCTCAAGAGCCTTGAGATTCAGAGATCAGTCAGCTATCAAACACGAATGCTTGCCAAAAGAGGTTAAAGCACATGTTACCATTGGAAACATAGTCAGTTGTCCATGACAACAACACAATTTTAACACCAAAATGTGGTTGCTAAACTTCTGTTGCACCTTATGATAGTATTTTGAAGAATCGGGTGCCAGGAGGCAACTATTATTGATTTGAGTTCCGAAAGTTCTGTCTCAATTTGCCTGGCAAAGCCAAATAATTTTTGTTTGTTTATACTGGCTATCATGTACATCACATACTTAGAAGTTTTAATAAATTTAATAACATTTCAATTAGAGGTAATGGACCCACTTTTAATAGAGAAGCTTTTGACTGAGGAAATTGTAGAATTTTAGAATAGGGCTCAAAATTGTGACCGATACAATGTGACTAAACCTTTTAACTTGGCAACTAAAAATTTGAGTTTAGTCACTTTGGCAACTATGTTCCTCTGATAAATAAAATGTTAAAGGTGAGAAACAATTTCCTTAGTCTCATTTCTGCTTTTCTGCAAAAGGAAATGCAAATTTAGTCTGTTTACCTTTAAGTTAAAACTTGAAATTGCTCTAAGATTGCGACTTCTGAGGCGACATTACAGTGGCTTCTACATAGTGATCGCCGGCACAATATTTTGTTGAGAGGCTACCGAATTTAAAAGCCAAAAGTCATGAATTATTTATCACAAGAGAAAAATACACTGAACGATTTTTGTAATTTGCTGCAGGCTAGAAATTACCAGGAAGCAAGGTCGTTGTTAGTATGCAAACAAGAAGTGTTTCAAAGCCTTTCAAAAACATTTGTTCGGGGCATGAATCTCATGCAGCAGCTACCGGAGGATGTCTTTGAAACATGTTTAGTTCCAGAAGCCAAACAACTATGTCAATTAAATGGGGATCCAATCTGAGTTTCTGTTCTTGTACTATCTGGCAACTGCATTTTTGTATTTGGCAACCATTTTTTCTTTGATAGTTGCCAAAAGGCGACTTGGAATTTTTTTTAATTTGAAGCCCTGCATATATTTTTGCTATATTATTGGTTCTCTTCCATTTGTGTTGATTCTCAAGGCATTTTAATAGCATATGATGTACTCCAATTTTTCTCTTCTGTTTTTTTTTTTTTTTTTTTTTTTTTTTTTTTTTTTTACATTATGACACAACTTATCACTCTTTTCAAAAATGAAGGAAATTTTATGGTGGTTGCTGAAAATAACAACCAGTAGGTCATTGGTCAGCACTAGCACCCAATTATATTTTAGCTCAGAGAGGCCCATGTGTTTGCCTCTGAATATTTATTGATGAACATTGTTCTATCACTTAAAACTGTGCTATTAACTTAAGATTTTGGTTTACTTTGCAATTAAGACATTTCCATTGTATTGTTATTGCTACATAAATTATTTGTAGAGAAGGTTCAGTGGGTGTGGTGTGAAACCAAACCTGTCCTTTTTCCCAAAAAATCACATGACTTTCATTCAGAACTCTTGTGTTCAACATGTGATGTCTTTGCCCCTTCACAGTGATTGTTTTCTTTTTTTGCAGCTCGAAATGGAAGATGATGATGTTATCGAAGTGTACCAGGAACAGACGGGAGGGCAATGAATTTTACCCCATACTTGACATCCACATAAGTTTGTTTTGTTCTCTTGTAGCTCAAATGGTATCATATTACAACTTTTGTTCAGTAGCAACAACATAGTTCATTCTGGATAAGCAAAAGGTTGCTTTTATGAATAAGACTTGGTGCAAAACCAGGATTTTATATTTGTCTCCGCTTATATGCATAGAGCAATTGTTAATCTATGATAAGTTTCATTTCTTCCTGTGAATAGTTTAAGAATTTCTTTTTGTTTCATTCCATTTAGTTAGATTTGACCTCTTTTATAATTTGTCAGTTAAGTGTGCAGTGCTTGTTTATAAATTCAACAGTTCAGTTCATTAAAGATGTACTTTCAATTATGTTTTGCTCTTTCTTGGTAACATAGTCCAAGTATAGGAATCACATGAGCACAGGTGACGTGATTTGACCCTTTAAACACCAAGAGTGATGTTCATCTAGTTTATCTTTACAATAATCAAAGATTCAACATTACCCCTCCTGCCACCCACAGGCATTTGATTGTTATCTGTGCCAAGGGGGTGGGGAATTTGAACCAGAACTGTCAAGACTTTCCAGCAGAATAAACATGTTTTATCTGTTAATACAGAGGTGTATTAAAGTAAAAAGTTCAACTTCGTGAGCAGATAGCTCAGAAAAATGGGGATACAAGAATATCACAAGTGCTGATCTTGCCTTTTACAAAATCAATTGTACATACATGCAAAATCAACTTTTTCCTCTTACATTTCACAACAACAGTATTTCACCTACTAGTCTAACAAAGTATCTTTGGGGTATAGCAGGTAATTTAGTGTTAACAACTGGGTTGAAAACGTAAATTAGCCAATCGCTCTGACGAAGGGCTAACGCTCGAAACGTCAGCTTTTTTACCCTTTACGGTGGCTAATTTACGTTTTCAACCCAGTTGTTAACACTAAATTACCTGCTATACTCTCCCACCGACGCAGCACCACAGTTTCTTTAGAAACTTACCCCTTTATCTTTGGGGTAGATGCGCTGTTTGCCGCAGTGAAATTTATACTCCCTCCTCTTTAATTTTATTCTTTATAATTGGAGCCTTTCCCTAGAAAAGGATCTGAATTTCCAACTCTTTTTGGGTGAGCAGCTCTCTTTCTCTCCTTCCTCAGCTACATTTAAAGATACTACATTACTGTTTTCCTTTTTGCTTTATTTCTTTAATCAAATCAGATGTTTTTAACAATGAAATATTTCAGTTTCACATTGAGTAGGTTTCTACATGTTATACTTTTATGCTGTTTGAAAGTTGCGAAAATTGGACAAAATAGACTTCAATCTCTTTAAGCCTGTATAATATCTTAACTGTGTTAATACCTGCTTATTTCAATCCACCTTAAACTAAACAAAATATTTTTAGGAGTAAGTCGATTTCTATAAAATGACAGGAGTTTTTCTGGTTTCAAGTGACTATCCAAAGTAATTTTTTATACAACAAACTCAACTTACAAGGATTAAAGTCAGATGAAGAAGCTGTGTGAACAAACTTTTTTTTACAGGAATATACAGAAACTGACATTGGAAAAATGAATGCAAAAACAAATTGTAAAAACTACATTTTAACCACAAGGGTAAAAACAAAAAAAGGAAAGAGAAACAGTTGTCTGTAAGACTCAAATGTCCAATTAAAAAGGCCACTAGCAAAAGAATCTTGTAACCTTTTGGGATTTCTAACCATTGTAGGTAGATTATCCTACCTACTAATATACTTCAACTTTAACCCGAACATTTCCAAAGTACACAACACTTGGGAAAATTGCTGAAAGCAAAGTATAGATTCAATACTTCATAGATCCTTTGAGATTGTTGGCTTAAATTCTGTTTATAAAAATTAAAATACTACAACGTTTTGTGCTTAGTATTCATTAGTAATATTATCTCTAGCGAAAAACTGAAAAGAAAAAGGTAAAATCATTTCTTCGTGAGTTGTTCAACCAAGATTTCACCATCAAATTCAACATCTGTAAGATCAAAAGAAAAACTTTGAATTAATAACAAAGAAGTCATATTGGAGAATGCTAATTTATTTTCTTTGATACTTAATACTACATGCAAACAGTTTTACCCTTCTTGTTTGTGAAAACACATGCTACAAAAACCCAAGATTTGATACAAGGATTGAAAAAAATGCGATTAACCAATCAACTAAATTTTCTTTTCTCAAAAACCTTTCATATAATAAGCTGAATTATTTTGATTGGTTATAAATTGACAGTGACAGTGGGTGCAAAAGAGTTTTCACAGCTATTGTTAAACATGACAATTGTCCTCATTGTTCATTCCTAATCTAAAAAAACTAGCTTTTGACACCTCTAACTATTGCTGTAACTAAATATTCCTCACCTCTTTCAATATCCCTTCCGTCGACCGCGAAGTTTCCCTCGACTTCTCCCTGGTCTAACTTTGCCTTTCCTTTCAAGGAGTTCTCTCTTATCAAGACTAAACCATGGGATCTCAAATTCTCTGTGGGTAAAAATTCATTTATCCTATCAATCTAGAAATTTTCATGATACTTTACATCACTACTCATCATTAATATATCTCTCTGTTGGTATGTGTGCTATGATTGGTCAATTTAGCTGGCTATCTTTCACTGTACAGCCTACTAAATTCAAAAGTTTGTTTGAAATTGAAATCTTCCCCTCTATTTGAACACAGAGATATAATAAATATCTTATTAACCTTATCTCTTGGTCTGTACTGTAAGTTATGGAACCTCATTTTTCTTTTCCGCTTGGTCCGTAAATTACAGTATAGACCATGAATACAAGTGTCTATCCTCACTGTGTACTGCACATCTGTTGTTGTTGGGGGGGGAGGGGGGGAAATATTCCAGTCCATTCTTTGTGAAAAAAAAATTAAAGTCTGTAACCCTGCCTAGTATTACACAGGTCACCTACCTTTCTTGAAATAAGGGAACAGGAAACCCAAAGGCTACTACAGGAACTGTGTCAGAAACTTCAACTGCCATCACTAGAGGTTGGAGAATAAAACTATTATTCTTAACTCTTGAACTCCTAAGAGTGACAGGTGTCTAATTTCTCCTTACAATATCACCCCTGCATCAAACATTAAGGTGATGAAAATAAAGGAAATGATGCCCAACTAAAGAAGCTCTTGACTTAAAAAAAAATTCTCTATGCCAACACCTTATGAAATGTATAGAGAACAGTAGGGAGAATATGAATATTCATGTTAGGATGCAAGGGGTTAATCTGAGGCTCTTTTTTTTTCAATTTGCAAGCCCATATGAAAATTTTCACATCAATAAAATCTTGCTCATAAAAAAACCAAGCAGGTAAACATCAATTATCATTACATATCAATAAAATTTTCTACAAAGATGGTAGTGCAGTGATTGTTTTTATTTGTAAAATGTTACAACAAAAAAACCAAATTCTGGTATCTGTAGTCTCATACCATCTTCGGGAGGTGGAAGGAATGATTCAATATTTTTGCAGTCCTCATCTTTACATCCAGATCTTTTCCCTTTCAGTCGCGCTTCTTCTCTGTCTCTATTTTTCTTTTCAAGATTTTGATGTGCTTGCATTGCACGCATGTGTTGAATATCCCATCTAAAATAAAATCATAAAAGAAAAATAGAATTTAAATCTTTAAAATCAATCATTGTTTTCACTATTGTCAAGTGTTCTGATTATGAAAAAATTAAAATATTCAGCTCTCTGCTCTCTCAATTGAATTTCAACACTGCCAAGTACAGTTTTCTTTGCCTGATCAAATTACAAACAATCCTCATTCTTACCAGATCTTATTTCATTCAATTCCTTCTTCCCTAACAACTTTTTTTTTTTAAAAAAGAGAAAGTAAGGACCATTCAAAATGCATTTTGCTCTCACCTTTTTCTTCTCCTCTCCTCAACTTCATGTTTCATATGCCTTTTTGCAAATACATCATCGTCAATACTCTACAAAGAAAAATATGGAAATAATTGACTAAGGTTAACTAAAGAGACCTTACCAAGATAATGCTTGTACTGAAAACAGGGAGAAAAAAAGTAAAATGAAACTGAACTGTAAACTTGAACTTCCTTAACCCTTAATACCCTAACATCAGCATCCTTATTCTCTTCACTCTTTTCAGTACCTTTCTTCTGGTACTGACGAGGAGAATTTGCTTAATGATCAGAGCTTTTTAGGTTGGCAATCACTTCCTTTTTTCTTAGGATCTTAATGAATGACTCAGCAATATTATTGTAAGGAGAAATATAGTGCTGATCACTCTTGGGTCTAAAGGGTTAAAAGTCCCCATCTGGCAGCCTTACATTAGAAAAAATGGTCCACAGAAATATTAATATGACATACTATACTGCTGCTAGCAGTACAGCGCTAGTTGGCAATCATTTCTGGAGTAACATCAAAGGGCTTAACAACCAGACCCCAAGATGAAGAAGAGGCAAAAAGTTAAAAAAAATTTTGATTGACAAATTCTGTCTCAGGTAAGAATAAATTATTTTTCTCTAGTAGCTTAAGTAATTGTAAAAGGCACAGGGAGCATGGGAACATCTTTGACTTTGGATTAAATTACATATGTAATGAATACCTCATTGTTCTCTGATGATGATGATGATCCTGCTAATTTTAATGATTTTGAATTCCCTGTTCTGACTGCTGCTATTTCATTTACTTGCCAAGTAGGAACTGAAAATAAAAAAATAGATTTGTCACCAGAGGGTGTATCTAATATATTATAATCACCTAAGCCTTGTATTAAAAAGTATTTCTAAAAAATGGCCATTCAACATCATGTAAGAAAATGGCAAGAACTTATAGAAACCATAAGTGACAAAACTGTCATCAACTTTATTTTAACACTTAATTCGTTGAGGAGGTAAGGTTAACCCTTTAACTCTCATGAGTGACCAAGACAGAGTTTCTCCTTACAATATCAATACAATATCATGCAGACAAGTAATGGGAATAAAGAAAATTATTAATTAGGGAATTAAAGAAAAATATCAAGTAAGGGATTATAAGTTGATCCAATACCAAATTCTCCAAACTAACATTACAAGAACTGTAAGGCAGATAGTAAGGAGAATTACTAATGAGATATTGGGAGTTAAAAGGTTAAGTGAGGTTTTTTTGGACAATTGACTGAGCATAGTAAAGCAAAACAATTGCAGTCTTAGATCAATTTTAACACTCTTGTCTCTTCATTACAGGAAATGAAGTCAGAGCCCTGAGAAAAAAAGGGCCCTTTTTCTTTTTCCTGCTCTGCAGGAGTTTTCAAATTACAAAGTGCTGTGTACAGACTCAATTGGAATTTCCTGTGGGACACACTGTGCTCAAACTGGACTGTAATCTAATTTTGAAAAAACTTTCCATTCTGGGTGAAAAAACAAATTGTTATATTTTACCCTGTACATGGCTTTGAATTCTATCAGAGGCTGAACTCTCAACAGCTTTATATGGAAGATCCGGTGAGTTACCATGCAGGTAAAGTTTTTCAGTTCTCATGTGTGTATCATAGCTTACATCTTCGCACATATGCGAAGTCATGGTAACTGGTGCAGTTGCTGGGACTCGTTTGGCCCGCATCATTTGTTCCACTGACAAACGACGGCTACAAGACACATCAAAACAAAAACCACTTCAAAAAAATGTTTGAGATTAAATTTTTTTCTTTACCAGTATGTTCATGCAGACTTGACTAAACCCTTGACTGGTAACAATTGAAGGAGTACATAGAAATCAGCCTTACCCCTTTGTGACTTTTCATAGACCACTAGATTCTTCCTTCAACTTGTTTTGTATTCACATGTAAAACATAAGGAGAATTTGAAGTTGCATTGAGAGGCACTAAGGACTTTACTATGGCACTCCTTCACATGATCTGATTCCATCTTCCATCCGGTGAGCTTACTTTTTTGCTACTGATCTTTTATTCCTCAACTAACAAGAACACTATACACAATTCATTTTTGCATGACATTACCATTTAGGTGTCACTGGCTTTGCATCCTTTTCTTCCTGTATTTCTTCATAACCCTCATTAACATCTCTTCTCTTCTTTACTGCCATTCTTCTCTCCAACCGATGCATACGAGACTCCAGCTATAATGTAGAACATAAACCATAAATGTTATGATCAAACTACAAAAATAAAGTAATTAATGGTAATCAGTCTCAATTACAGAATAGCATTTGATTGTATTCTGATTACCAGGTAACAGTAGTCCTATGAATGACTGCTCTCAGTAGTGGCAGGGCGTGAAATTGCACCTAACACAGGCGCCAATGTGACCAAATCCTGAAATTAGTCACCAAATTGGCGACTAGAATGTTTCATCATAACCTTACCTAGAGAAATAGTGAATTAAAAAGAATTTGCAAAGACAAATCCTCGTTAAGTTTGTTTCCAAAACGTAGCAGATGCATCTGGATCAATAACTAGATGCCAGCTTGGATTTAGGTGAGCTTAAACATTGCATATCATCCATCCTAGTGTCCCCTTTGTAGCACGTTAAAGACCTTTTCCCTAACTTAATTTCTAGAACGGTGACAGCTCCACTCTGATTATGACCTCCACTAAGGTTGTTGAAACATTAGTCCATACCACCACCAAAATTCATTCCCCAGACTACCCTCACTCAGATGACAGACTAAAAGATCAAAAACTCATTGACTTAATAAAAAAATCAGCTACCTCCCTCATATGAGCATTCATATAGATCAGTTGGCACCTTAATTCTGTGATTTGATTAATTGACAACAGGAGTTTGTCATCTAATTCTGTCTGAAATCATAATTTTGATTATCAACTTAGACTCTTGCTTTGGGGTTGTCTCATATTGTTCATTTCTCATATGGTAAAAAACCAAATTGGAAACCACTCAGTCTTTTTCATAAAAAAGGTTGTGGTTATTCATTGTGGTGAATAACAATAAAAGCTAAGTTTTCCATTTGTCTCACGATGTAGTATTTTTTTTTCCAACAGCTCTGATAGGCGCATTTCTGAGCCCACTCAGTCTTTTTAATGTTATACCATATAAAGAGAATAAGATATGGCCAATTTTGTTGCATTTTAAAAAAGTTTTGGCAAGATTTCTCCACAGTCCACACTTCATTATGCATATAGTTCTTGGAGAAAGAAAACAATGACAAAAAACAAAAAGATAGTTCATTTGGGCATTTAGGGTTACACAGAAATCTTTCCTAAGTCTTACCCTTCAACCCATAAGAGTGACAAGCATCGAATTTCTCACTACAATATTACCCCTGAATCACACATTAAGATCTTGACAATAAAGGAAATGATCACCATATTAAGAAGCTCTTGATTGTAAATCAAATTCTTCTTGCAAGCTCCTTAGGAATGTATGTAGAACAGTATGGAGAAATTTCACACTAACAGGGCATGAAATTAATTTTTTTTTTTCCGATAGCCACTTGGCTCCTAAATTCTTCAAAGTGGTAGCCAAGTGGAAAAAAGTTGGTCGCCATTTTCAAAGACAAACAAAACCTTTTTTTATGCAGTCGGCGTTCTAGATAGACCCTCCAAAATTAAATTTGGGAAAAGATCTTTAACGTGCTACAAAGTGGACACTAGGATGGACGATATACAACGTTAAAGCTCACCTAAATCCAAGATGGCGTCTAGTTATCGATCGAGATGCATGTGTTGCGTTTTGGAAACAAACTTAACGAGGAAGTTCGCCGCGGATTTATCTTTGCAAATCTTTTTAATTCACTATATCTCTTGGTAAGGTTATGATGAAACATTCTAGTCGCCAATTTGGTGACTAATTTCCAGGATTTGGTCGCCAAAGTGAAAAATTTAGTCGCATTGGTGCCTGTATTAGGCGCAATTTCACGCCCTGCACTAATGTTAAGGTCCAAAGAGTTGAGTTAGGCACTTGAAATATTTTGGTACTCTGGCTGAATCATGACTCAAGCATGGAAGCAAATTCATGAACATCAAAGAGCAAAAATATTTACCAATTAGAATAATAATCATAATAATCAAAATCATACTCTTGGGTTCTAGTTTACTTCAAAGCTTTGATACATGAATGAAGTTGTCAAAATTGTCACTTCTCCAAAAATTATTTGTGTGTTGGTGTTTCCTCGTTCAATTTTTTTTGCCTGTTATTGCTCGCTAACCCACTAATTCACTCATCCCAACCACCTGCCTGCCTAAAAAAAGCTTATTTTCAGCTAAAGATAAATCGCAAAACTCAATCAAAACAAACATTACACAACATGAATTCACTCTCAGATGTCATTGGTAATTCTCCTTACTGTTCGCCATACCATTCTTAAAATTTTAGTACAGAGAATTTTTTTATTGGACGAACCAATCACCTTATTCTCATCACTTATTGGGTTGATATTACTGTATTGATATTGCAAGAGGGACACGAAATTTACGCGAAACTTGATTAATTTGAAACACATTTACTTAACAGGGCAAATTCAGAGTGATAATTGTACGTATGGTCTAAGACTAAGGCTTCTGAGAGAGCCTTTCTACCCGAAAACATGAAAAAGAAAGGAATTGTTCACACGAAAAATTAAATTCAAGAAATCTGCCATGTGGCATCTCTCGAGCGCAACAAATTAATTATTCCACGTGACCTGTTATGAGCGCCATGTTTGAATCTGCCGCTGACCTCTCCAAAAATAAAATTTATGCGATTCTGTGTTTTATGTATGCAGAAATTTAAGACAGTAAAACATTATGAAAACAGAACACAAATGTGCTTATACCTGTTCCTTGTCTTCTTTTAGTTTATTAATCTCTCGATCCTTCATCTGCAATTGTTCCTGTTGTTGTTGAATGAGCTCCAAATGCAGTAATAAAAGTTGCCGTAACTGAGTTAATTCACCGACAACGTCCATCTTATGGTTGCTACCGTCACAAGCGATTTCTGGCTCCGACGGCTTAACTAACGGCACATCAGTGCTGGGTTGTAGTTGCTCTTTCTGTGTATCACTGCTACTGCTGCCATTTTTCAGAGCCATCGAAGATTTCGATCGCAAAACGCGGGTAACCTGCCGTTCCGATCGCGAGCTAGCAGAACCCGTCGCCAATTTGTTTCCCACAAAGGGCGCATCGGTTTTCGTTTGGTTTTGATCCATGTTTCCAGTGCAGGGTAAGTCTGTGGTCATAACCATTTGGCAGACTTTGGTCCACGTTCTCTCGAACACGGCCCTAAAACTGTTTCGTTTCATTCGGGTCAAGAACAGCCATTACGGCACTTTGGCGGTCCATGTGACAAAAACATGGCGAACAACACGAATGCGAGGCAGCCGATGCTCTCGAGAGTTGCAGATGTCGTTTCCGGTATGAAGTCTGAAAAATGTCCTATTTTCCAAGACTATTCAAAATTAAGCATACAATTATTTGGAAAAACAATACAAGTTGTTCAGAAACCTACACTGCCCTAACACATTTCGAATTCAACAAGCTGACGAAAACTGTTTGCGACAAAATGACGCTATTTCCGGTAGTGATGGCATGGAACGGCGTGACAGGTTACCTAGCTGGGAGAGGTGCGTGCTTGTGTATTTCCGGTTAAAACTAGACCGCGTACTTTTCACTTAAAAAAGCCCTCTTTGTTGAAATAAGGGAGCAAACCTTAGCTAACGCAAAATAAGCCGATATCTGCAATGTTCTTAGATTCTTAAATTTTTTATCATTCTTTTCAAAGGAACAACATTTTTAAGTTTGCAAAACATGTTTCGACATTACATATGTCATCTTCTATAGTAAATTATTTCATCGTTTTTAATTATGGAGGAAGGTATGGGGGAAGGTTTCCCTTTTATGGCATTCCATGTAAGGAGAAAGAAAACTATTCATGTAGCTTGTTTTGGATTCTGAGCGATTTTCAGAGCAAATGATAATCTCCTAATTGATTTCATAAAAGGGAAGACTCGCGAGACACGTGCGCGAAAAAGAACTCAGCCCCAGTGTGTTTGCGTCCTCTCTTCATATTACCGGGTGGCGAAATGAAAATTCCGAAAATCGCGAGATTCTGAGACCTACGAGACCCATGGTTGGTTTGTTTGTATACATGTAGCAAGCTTGGTTGTGCAACGTCCATCCAAAGCGTTTCCCTAGCAGATGTAAAATATTGTCAGCGGCATGCCTCTTAGAGTAACATCTTTCGTCGTCGCTACGCGCGCGTCTAATAACATTTGACGTCCATCTGCCCGTAGCAATTTTCCGGGTACAGTTTTTCCGTTCGTTTCAGTATCGCTGTACATTTGAATGTTGTTTCTGGAGTTAGAATTCTACTTCAGACTTGCCAGTGCTCCATCGCACGGACAATAGAGGACAATTCAGGTAATTTTATGTGTAACATTCTGAAGGCTCTTGGAAGACCCTTTGTTGATGAACGAGATGCTTGTTACAAATTCGATGCCAGTGTCAAAGAAAGAACGTGAAAAATCTCACGAAGGAAAACAGAAGTTTTTGAAATAAATTAGGATCACAACATGTAATGAGTTATCGCACTAGCCATCTGATTCGTTATTTTGCTACATATTGGCTGAAGATTTATTTCGAAAGAACAAACTGGATCTTATATCTAAGTAAAATTAGGGTTCGATCGATGTAGGGCAGAGATCATAGTCGGGAATTCGGTAGGGTAAACACTTCTGACCAGTCAGGTAGTTATTCATACTTTGCAAGAAATAAGAAACAGAGCAATATCTAAAGTTTGAAAAATATTAATTAATTTGTGGCTAAAAATTAGTCAATTTAATTTGTCAACCACTCCCCCAAAGATGACTGTCCGGGAAGGCGCGTCAGTCAAGTCTCTTGTTTAACCCTTTAAACCCAAAGATCTGATCGTTAATTTTCCCCTCTAGTAGCTTCACATAACCTTGTAAGTAAGTTACAAGAATTTGGTATTAGATGAAGATAACATCTTCTATGTGATAAGTTTTGTGTATTCTCATTACCTGTTTGCTAGATAATGTATAGATATTTTAGAGAGAAGTTACACATTAATCACTTCTGGAAGTTAAGGGTGAATTCTTTTACTCCAAGATCCAAATATCAATTCTCTTCACTGTTATACTTTTCTAATGATTTGAGCCCTGAGAGATTGGTGTTTAATTAAGAATATTACCCATCGATATACAATTAAAAATCTTACACTTTTTCTGGTATATTACATTACTAATTGTGTGAATATGAAAGCGATCTTTGCAGTTATGAACACTACCTAAGTAGTAGTGAAAAGAAGACCTGAAAAAAATTCAGGCCTGTATGGGATTTGAACCCATGACTTTTGCGATACTGGTGCAGTGCTCTACCAACTGAGCTAACAAGCCAACTGGGAGCTGATCACTGTGTTGGTTCCAAATAAACAAATAAACGATAAATTGTGCTACTTACAGAGGGTAATCTAATTCTCACTTTGTTACATAATGTAGTGAGAGAAAAACAAAAGAACATTTAAACCACTAATGTTAAAATTTTTTTTCAAACATAATTATAAGCAAGCTTGGTTAAAAATTACAACACATCTTGAAAACAAGGTTCTTTGTGACACTGTTATTCCTCCCCTACATTACACTCCTTTGAACATCCCTTTAACTACAATTAACTTTTTGAAATTGTATTTAAAGCTAAAAGTATCTATAAATTAATTCAGAACAATTCTCCAATAACTTCTAATTTAGCAAATAACATTTTGTATATTACAAGCTTAACGTCAGTCTTGATATTCATACTTGACCACAGTAAATGACTGTTAGATAATATAAAAGTTTGTTTTGTAAGATTTATTCATCTTCTGATTTGTAATCTTCTTTTTTTAATACTAGGTCCTTTAAAATATCAAGTTACATTCAAAAATATTGTCAACCCTTTGAAAGCTAAAGGTGAGACTTCCTGAAGATGTCAGAAATTGTGGACTGCATTGCTTACATTGTTCAGAAAGTATGTTGGAGCCTGGGTGTTTGTGCACTCTTTATTGCCAAGCGGTTGGCAGATTTTTTTGGGTTAATATTCAACATCCTTGCTTGTTTAACCATTGTGAGACTACCGTTTATGATGATGCAGTTCTACCACATGGACTCAATGGTGGAATGGCGGTGTGTAGGTTTTGTCCATTTTTTGTTCTTTCTGGTGGACATACCATTTATTCTCATGTTATTGCTTATGGTCTTGTTTACCGGGGGGTTGATTCTCATCCCACTCATCAATGAAATCAAGGCAAAGATGAACTTAAAAGATTTCACAAGTGAAGGGGCGGGAATTTATGGTGTGAGAGCATTTGAGCTTCATTTAATCATTGGAAAGAATTTCTTTCGTCTCATCTGTGACATTTTGTGTGTTCCTCTGGCCATTGTTTGTTTCTTCTCGTGGAGATGTTGCATTTTTGTGAAAAAACTGCGAATGAAGAACTACAAGTGGAGAGACTTTGGATGGAGAAAAATTTGCATCATACAATTTTTACAACTCTTGGTTGATATTCCTTGTATTTTGATTGGCCTGCTTGTTATGATGACATGGCGTGCCCCATTTTTAGTCAGGAATGTGAATGAGTGCCGAAAAAATTATAAAAATTGGAATCAGTGGAGATTTGAAGTTTTTCCCGAATTTGTTTTCTTTTTTGTTGACTTTTTTTGCCTGCTGCTTTTTGTTTTAACCATAATAACATGGAGACTGCCCTTCTTGGTGCACAAGCTTTATCATACAGAGAAAAAACAGTGGAAAGTCCGAAAAGTTATTGTTGAACAATTTCTGTTGATATTTGTGGATATTCCGTGTATTCTATGTGCCATTATTGTGTTCATCACCTTATGGAGAGTTCCCAACTTCCTCAGAAACTGGGAAAGCGACCAATGGAAAATCAGGAAAAACTGTGTCTGCCAGATGGGAATGCTGTTTATTGACTTTGTCTGCATTCTGTTGTGTTTGGTTGTCATGGTAACCTTGTGGAGGTTATACCCCTTAATTTGTGATGTCAAGAAGTACTATTCAAGACCCCAGGAGGAACGATCCTGGAAGATTCGAAAGTCCATTTGTAAGAATGTTGCATTTTTGCTTATAGACATACCAGCTATATTTCTCTGTCTTGTCATATTTGTTACAATTTTGCGATTTCCCAAGCTACTGTCTAAGCTTATCCAATCTGGGAATTTCTTCCTGGAGTTTGCCATTACAGTTTACTTTGAGGCTGCCATGTTGGTAGTGGACATTTTCTTCGTCCTACTGTTTGTGGCTCTGATGTGCGTCAGGCCCATCCAAAGCTGGGTGCATCTGCTGGAAGACGAAGAACATAAAAAGAACCGCCTTCTGAGGCACTACATGCAGTGGGTCCCTGATATTCTGGAGAAGCGCTTCCAGAATCGGAGAGAGCTAGAAGGCATCTTTTCAACTTGTTTAAAAAATCGATCATCGGAGGCAGAGCTCTGGAATAATCTTCACACTGTCAATAGAGATTATTTGGAGGAATTAGAGTGGATTCGAAACAAAGTGAGAAAATACGAACTCGATGGAGAATTCGGCCATTTGATTGATATGATCAAATGGTGGGAGGAGAAACGAGTGAACAAGCTGCTGCGCTTGTACAGATGTGAAAGGAATTTTTTACTCCACCCCAATCTCTCCACCCATAACAACAACTTGGCAAAATTTAGAAACGAGATGCTTCGATATGAGAGTCACGTAACCGAGCAATATCGCACTGTTGAAAAGTACACCATTCCTAAAGTGCCGCTGTGGGGTGAGGAATGCGGGCTCAAGACGCGCTCGCGTGAAGAGACTCAACAAGCTCTGATCAAATGTCTCCCCAGTGGACGATTCGTCCTCTTGGTGCTTACACTGTTGAATGTAGCTCTGATATACCGCGGCCCTGCCTTGTTGAGAAACCTCTGCCGGCGCTGGTATGACCGGAGGAACATAGTGTTCAGCTCTTGTAAAGAGTATTTTTACGATCTGTTGACTGTTTGCAGAATCTTGTTGGTCCTGATGTTCTTGTATCGAGCGCCTTTCTTGATCACCGACATCACAATAGACATTGTTTTCAAACACAGTTGGCGCGCAGTTCGTGAGACGGTCAAAAGATATCCAGCCATGATCTTAGAAGACCTTGTTCAGCTGGTTAGTTTTTTTTTCAGCTGGGAGAGTGTCCGCTTTCTCTTCACTGCTCTTCTCTTTGGTCTCCTGATGCCGGCGGATTTATTTTTGACCATTACGAAATTTTTGATTTCAAAGGACTGCGCCTATTTCGTCACCGCTGTCTTGTACGTGATTTTCGTGGCCTTTCCGTTTCTCATACCGTTTTACATCAGCCAGAGAATAGACTCGGACACGTTGACAGTCGTAATCGGCGCATTTGCTGTGATTTTGTTGATGGTTTTGGTGATAATGGTCA